ATGAGATAAAAAATAAGCAATAATTAACTCTTGAATTATTGATTGAATAAAGAAAAACTAGATTACATGAAAGAGAGAGAGAGAGAGAGAGAGAGAGAGAGAGAGAGAGAGAGAATGGTTTAAACCTAAATTAGAAGAATAGAAACCATTTGAATAAGAAATTCATTTTATAGTAAATGATTAAAATAAATGGTTTTTAAAATTGCCAGAAAAGTGTGTTAAGAATATCCAAATAATGTTCAGTTGTATTCATTTTGTGTATTCATTCAAAATTAAAGTCTTGTCTGAATTTCAAATATTATTTACATAAGAAATTCAAATCCCAGTCATTGAAAAATTTAATTTAAATTGTATTTATATATGAATAATAGGGAAAAGAAAAGTAATCATAGGATATATGAGCTGTTATTCCATAGCCGTTAGGGGTCGTTCACATATTACGTTCGCACTTTTTAAGAAATCTAGACCCCCTCCCTCCCCTTTGTTCGCAATTGTTCGCATGTAGTCATTTTAAAATTATAACGTTCGCATGTCCCTAACACCCCCCCCCATTGAAGACATAGAATATCTGGAAATAAAACTATTTCTATTCAAAAGTCATATATTTACTTAAAGTTTGTTATCAAACTGTTGTTATCAAAAGATTAACTTTAATCAAAATTAATCCCTTAAACTCTTAAAATTGTTTGAATGCGAACGTTCTTCACGGCTCTACCCCTCCCCTCCCCCCTCGTTCGCAAATGTTCGCATTGGCCGACCCCCTCCCCTCCCCCAAAGTGCGAACGTAATATGTGAACGACGCCTAAATGAAAAGAGAAATATATTTATTAAAGGAAACGCAACTATTAATATAATTATCATTATTATTATTACAGCAAATTTGTGAACGAGAAAAGTTTATATGAAAATATCAAAACTCTCTCTTTCTTTCTCTCACTCTTAATACTATTGGAAAATGTTTTAATGTTGTAATAAATTCATGCGGTTTGGAAATGAGCTGAAAAATTACACAATCAATATAAATATTTCCTACTCTTTCCCATCACTGGTTAAACGAGACATTGAATTGAACACCGAATTCATGAATTCGCCTCAAAATGATATTAAAAAATTGCTATACATTTCATTTCAAAGTTACAGTATTATTACAGAATGATCACTGTATATCCTATTTGCATTAATGGGCGGCTAGTTTTATATGATATAACATTTTATTATTATAATTTATACCATAAAGATAGGCAAAACACTGTAGATATTGTGTATTTAAGTTTTATTTTTGAAAATTTTCTAATAATATTTCATAAAAACATCCCTTTTTCACACATGTTATGACATAACGACAACCCATTTATTATAACTTCAAACTTTTATGTGTGAATATTTTTGTTAATTTTGTGTTTATTATAATAATCATAACTTACAGTAATCTTCATCAACGGAGTGATACTTATTTCATATGAAGTATTGGATTTATTCATAATTAAGTTAATAATGGGTTAGATTTAATGAAGTGTTTATTACAGTATTGTATTGTGTTTAACTCTAACCATATAATAAACCACTAGTTAATAATAACCCCATTTATGTTGTATTAAAAGTAGTTTTTTGTTTTGTTTGAAGAGAATAACCATTTGTTTATAAAAGCTGTGGATTTGAAAATAATTCACACAAATAAACGTCTATAACAAATGAATTTGTACTGAATTTGTTATGTGTATATAAATAGGTTATTATACACCAGTGAATGACATAATATCAATATTATATTATAATAATGTTTATGAGAAATGAGGGCTTCAATAGTGATATGTCTTACGTTTCTCGTTATTTGCTTCAATCGGTTCAGTAGTGGACATCCATTTGGTATTTGTTTTGAATTTAATTAATATAAATACAATTATAAATTAATTGAATATAAATTATCATTTGAATGGTTAGCCCGGAATCCGGACTGTCGTTCATCTGGTGGCTCGTGCTCTATGTTTGATGAGCACCGGTGCTGTTCAGCCCTCACATGCATTGCCAATAAATGTGTCCACATTTCCAACAAATGGTTTTTCTAATATAATTTATTCTGTGATTCGTTTGATTTACAGAATTTTTAATTATATTTATTTTAATATAATTTTTCTGTAATTTTTATAATTGAATTATTTTTGATTAAAAAATGTTTTTTCATTTAAGATATATTTTTAGATGAAATACCGTAAATGCTTATTGAAAAAAGTTTAATTAAAAATGAATGTAATTGAAAATAAAGTTAACAATTTTATTATACAAATATTTGCTCACAATTTTGCGCACATTTTCTTAATTTAAAATTTTTTGTTGAAATTTAATCTTAAGATTTTCAATAAATACATCTCTTTTCTTGACTTTGAAGTGAAAAGTCAAACAAAAATTGATTTAAATTAGTATTTCTGACATGTGGGCGAATTTAATATATGATTTATAAAAGCCAACATATATTTCAACATATTAATACATAACAATACATGATTATAAATTATAAATAAATGTGAAAGTTTCAATTAAATATCAAGTTATTTTTAGTTTAAATATATTTATATATTTTGTATTTAATAGTAAGTTTATATTTTAGAATAATTATGAAAAATATCAAATATAAAAATATATAATTAAATAATTAAAAACTAAATTAGCAAAATTGCATATAAGTACATTTTGGTCAATGTTAATCACGGTTTTGATTAGGGTATTAACACTAAAAATATATTATCACTTTTGCTATAAAACATTTCACATAGTTTAACAATATTTTATTAAAATGAATTTTTGATTAAATGATTGAGAGTATTCAATAAACGAGTCATTAATTAAAAACTTTTTAAATCATTTGATTTTATGTCATTTGTCACCAGTTTTATCAACTATTATAACAATCATTTTATTAATTTAAAAAACTAATCATTCACATTGGATATAAGACGGGTCTCCATAAATATGCCCATCATTTCAAAGCTAGTTCTCAACCAAAACGTTTGATTTAAAGTCTGTACTTTCTTCAATGTAATCGTTATATAATAGATTAAACCTATTATTTTGTTACGATGTCTGCCATCGAATGGGTACTAAACTATCATTTAAATCTAAATTATTGATTATGTAATATATTAATAGGTTAAACCATTCATCGATAAAAATATCATTTGGTTCACCAATAAATCGAAGACAATTTCGTTTCAAATATGGATTGTAAAAGTGGATGAAAATGGTGTCAAAAGTACCGTTGATATGAGACATGAATCCACGAAACAGACATTTGTCGCTCTCTTTGATGATAAAGACACGGATTTCGAGATCGTTTATCGCAACCATTCGTGTAATAGAATGTGTTTTGGAATAACTTATGGTAAAAATTACGGTTTTATTATCAAAAAAGGAGTGCTAAGTTCGCTCAAAGCATTTGAATCTAATGGACATCACTTGCGATTCTTGTCGCCAAACCTACCGACGGGACAATCGGTGGTCGATATGATCGCAAACAAAGACCCCGACAGCAGAAGGAATGCAGAGATTATGTGCTCGAGAATGAAGATTGCCCTCTGGCTCGATAGGAATCCTTTATACGGCTCAACAATTGTCCCAAACTTATTGTCCGAAATGACGGCAGAGAGCGATGGCTCTGATCCACAAATCGTTGTATTCATCAATGCGTTAAACGAAACGCCACTTCAAATAAAGATTGATCGGCTGATGACCGTCGATGACCTCAAACATCTGATTCACAAGAGAACTGGTCATCCATTTGATCACCAAATACTGATATGCGATGGCATTGAACTCGAAAATCGCAAAACAATCGGTGAATACGATATCAAATGTAATTCAACAATATATTTGGCTCGACTTAATGCCAAAAACCCGGTCTTAACCGCTAAGCAATGGCGCGAAGGAATGTCAGTATATAAAGACAATGTCGATAAAGTTGTGCCCAAATTAAAGCCAAGCGTTGAATGTATGGGCGAAGCAATCAATGTATTTGTCCGCACATTGGAGTTGAAGACAATTACTACAAGAATCGGTCGATTGAATAAATTATACGATTTGAAAGTTCTTATACAAGAAAAAGCGGACATTAATATGAGATTAAATGAAATGAGATTAATATTTGGCGGTAAAGAACTGGATAACGATAAGACCATCGATGAGAATCATATCACAAATGATTCAACACTTCATTTGACTTCCCGTCTTAGAGGAGGTCTGAAAGGGGATCTCAAAAGGAATTGGTTGAGTGAAAAACCGGATCAAATAAATGATATTTTGTTACGCATTCCTGATGTCGACAAATATGTGGGCAAAAGAGGTGTCATTGGTTTCGGTGACAAAACTAATCAAAAGTTTAGTCCAAAAGTGACTGATTTTGTTGCCGATCGACACTATTGTTTGGAACCCTTTTTCATTGAATTCAGACTTAAATCCAATTAAATATGGATTTGTATGAATACACGAATATATTAGCAATTAGTCTATTATACAATCAAATGCTATATTTATCAAAATCATTTGCAATGCACACTAATTGACAAATTGTTACCATATCCTAATTACAATGAATTAATATTACCCTAAATTTTGATTAATATAATTATTAAATTTAAAACTAATTATTTGTGTATTTATATCGTTAAGAATTTATTAAAAACTTTCAAATAAATATTATAATTAATGTTTAAAGTGTTAATTCAATAATTAAGTTAATTATGGTATAAATGTGTGTAAAATATAATGAATGGATATTTTAATTGAAATGATGGTAAAAATGAGTGTTTATAATGAATGTATTAATAGTCTAACTGTAATACCGACGGCTATATTGATTGTTTATGTATCACGTGATTCTGTAAAATGTGTTTTAGCCAATGGGAGCTCAGTATCACTGTTTTGAATGAATACAACAGCCAATCAAAAGCGCGAATCCAACGATAATATGGAATGTTTGCGATAAACAAACAAATCATTATTTTATGACTTCTTTTGATTAGTGTTTGGTTTAATTGAGTTTTGGTTTCATTCATAACAACTTTGAAATACATTTTACTATTGATTTGGACGTCAAGTACTGGCTATGGATATGATGTCTAACAAAGTAGTGGTAAGTATTATATCATTCATTACTTTCAAAACAAGTTGTGATAATTATGTAATGTATTAACAGTTGAGTCCAGTTATCACTGAAGACAACGCCATTGCAATCACCGATAAATCAAAGATTGACTTTCGCTTAACTATAAGACAAGTGGATAGCAATGGAGTGAAGCGTTCGGTTCAACTCAAGAATGAGCTGTTAAGCGATTGCAAGCCATTTGTGGTCCTCTTTGATGACAACGACATCGACTTCGAGCTCGAAGTCCACAACCGATCGGTGGTAACGTTGACCGGAAAAACACTTGACTTTGTAATAGGTCTCGAGAAGTGTCTCGAGAAGACATATGATCTGAAAGTCATGATTGAAGACAAAGAAGGCGTTCCAATGGATCAGCAAAGACTGATATACGCGGTCAATGAGATGGGCATTCGAAGCAAACCAACACTTCGTGTAACGTTAAGATCGAAAGACTTCGGATATTCTATAAATAGCTCACACAACCCAATCGGAGCACTGGATCTCATGTCAGACTCAGGGAAACGATTCGGTCGCAGAGGTGTCGTCGGATTCGGACACAAAACTGACCAACACTTTAAATCGTATACCGGTTTCGATGCCGACGACAGCTTTTATATCGAACCGGTTGTCATTGTATTCAGACTCAAGGAGTAATCGCCAATACATTTGCAAACAATTGGCAGTAATTTATCTAATTTTATGCTAAACTAAATTGTATTCAATACTATACATACATTTAAATGCCATTTACTTTTAATTTTTATAATTAACGATTACATTATTTTATGATTATTTTAATTTCAATGTTATTTCTATACTTGTTTTATTAGATATGAATCTTATTATCAAATGAATACATGTTTGTATTAAAAAAATTTAAATAAAAATTTATAACTTCAATAAGTTTTGAACCAATTATTAAAACAAAAAATATTGCTTTTATTTTATTTAACACTATTTGTGTATTTATTTTGAATAAAAACTCATACATTTTCAACCAATTATTTACGTTAATTAATCAGTTATGAAAAATACTTTGACTAAAATTGTCGATTAAATGGTAGAAAAATATTTAATAAACGAGTCATTGATTAGGAAATATTCAGTAATAATTTGATATCAAGGTATTTGCCATCAATTTTATCAACTACTATATTAATAGTTGTATTCATAAAATTACACTCAAATCATAAAATGGTATATAAGACAGGTATCGATGAACACAACTTTCATTTCAGAGTTTGTTTCATAACCAGAGGTTTCACACAATTATGATTGGTATGGTATTTGTGGCTAAAATGTCAATGTAATCATTGTATAGTATAATAGATCAAACTTAATAAATGTGTTGCGATGGCTGAAGTCGAAGAGGTATTCAATTATGATTGAGATATATTTATTGATTATTTTTGATGCTATTGTTAGATATGGCCAGTGATTGACGATAAGTTCATTTGGTTCACCAATAAATCAAAGACAGTTGACTTTGAATTGTCGATCAGACAAGTGGATGAAAATGGTGTCAAAAGTACCGTTGATATGAGATATGGATCCACGAGACAGACATTTGTCGCTCTCTTTGACGATAAAGACATCGATTTTGAGATCGCGGTTTGCAACGACTCGTCCACTAGAATGTCATTTGACATGATTTTTGGCAAAAAATACTCTTACATTCTTTCGGTCGGAGAATTGTCCGCTTTTGATACTCTCGAAGAATATGGACATCACTTGCGATTCTTGTCGCCAAACCTACCGACGGGACAATCGGTGGTCGATTTGATCGCAAACAAAGACTCCGACAGCAGAAGGAATGCAGAGATCATGTGCTCGAGAATGAAATTTCAATTAGGAGTCGGAAAGCCTTCGGTAAACGATATACCGATTGTCTCAAAAGTATTGCCACAAATTGAAGCCAAAACTGATTATTCGGACGGAGAAGTGATTGTATTTATCAAAACGTTGGACCAAAAACCGATGGCCTTAATGATTGAGCGCCAGATGACCGTCAATGACCTCAAATATTTCATTAATAAGAGAACTGGACATCCAATCGATGACCAGATTTTGATATATGAAGGCGAAGAACTCGAAGACCACCGAACAGTAGCCGAGAGTGAGATCGAAAACGATTCAACAATACATTTGGTTCGCTTTAGTGACGAAAACACCGCTAAAGTTGTGCCCAAATTAAAGCCAAGCGTTGAATGTATGGGTGAAGTAATCAATGTATTTGTCCGCACATTGCAGTCAAAGACAATCATTTTAAAAATCGGTCGATTGAATACATTATACGATTTGAAACTTCTTATACAAGAGAAGGAAGGCATTAGCGGTGATAATATGAGACTAATCCGTGGCGGCAAAGATCTCGATGACAGTAAAACTATTGATGAGAATCATATCCAAAACGATTCAACGCTTGATTTGACTTTCCGTCTTAGAGGAGGTCTGGGAGGAGTTCCCGGAGGTCTTAACAGATATTCATTGAGCAAAAGAGCGGATCCAATAAACGATAACAATATGTTAACCATTCCTGTGATGAATGAAGACGTGGGCAAAAGAGGTGTCATTGGTTTCGGTAAGAAATCTTATGAAAAGTTTGGCGAAACTGTTTATGATTTCGATTGGGATTATACTTATTATATCGAACCCTTTTATATTGAATTCAGGCTTAAAAAGCAATTAAATTAAGTTATAATTTATATAAAAATGTTATTAATTACTTAACAATTAGTCTATTGTATAATTAAATGTAAATATTGAAAATTTTTGAAAAATGTATTCATAAAATATTAATCGACAAATTGTTACCCAATTATACAATAAATTAAGAATTATCTTATATTTTGATAAAATAGTTAAATTTAAAACTAATTATTTGTGTATTTATTTTGTTGAAAGCTTATTAAAAATGATGAAACCATGTTAATTGTGTTAATTCAATAATTAAGTTAAATATGTTTAAAATGTAATGAATTGATAATTTAATTAAATGAATGGTAAAAACGTCTATTAATTAATAATGACATTTATTTAATTATAATTATATCTATGGATTGTATCAAATGTATTGCCAAATATTTTTGGGCCAATTGGGGCTCAGTTTATATGACAGCCAATCAATTGACACGTTGTATGAAATATGAAATGTTTGGACAAACAATAAATCATTTCTCTTTGTTTTTCATTCAGTTTTAGTTTTATTCACAAAATTTTTATCATTTATTTTGAAGTAAAGTATTGGCTATTGATATGATGTCCGACAAAGTGATGGTAAGTATTATTATATCATTCATTGTTTCCAATTGTCATAACAATTATGTAATGTATTAACAGTTGAGTCCAGTTATCACTCGACATAACGCCATTGCAATCACCGATAATTCGCGGATTAACTTTCGCTTAGCTATAAGACAAGTGGACAGCAATGGAGTGAAGAGTTTAGTTCAACTCAAGAATGGGCTGTCAAGCGATGGCAACACATTTGTGGCCCTCTTTGATGACAATGACATCGATTTTGATATTAAAATTGACAACCGATCGGCCCTTAAAAACATAGGCTTTGATATCAATTACGACAAGAAGTATGAATATTTTATCCGAAGAGGAAGTCAGGGTATACTTCAAGCGCTGGAAACAAATGGACATCACTTGCGATTCTTGAGCCCAAACCTACGAACGGCTCAAATGGTGGTCGATTTGGTGGCCAACGAAGGCGTGGACCGAAAGAAGGCTGAAATGATTTGTTCGCGCATTCGGTTTGATGTGAGGGTCGAGAAGAGTAAATCAAATGTTGTATTATTGGGTCCAAAGATAGAGATATTTGTCGCGATTCCCAATGGAAATACAATAGCCGTACGGATCGGTCGCGACAACACTGGACACGATCTCAACCGTTTGATACGTGAGAGCGAAGGCATTCCTGTCGGCTCTTTTAGAATGATATACAACTTTAGACGAGTCGATGAAAGGCAGACAATGCGTGATATCGGCGTCGAAAGGCATTCAACAATTGAAGTGTATGTCGAACAGAGTGGCGGAGGCGACGACTCAGTCAACATTCGAGTCAAGTCACAGTCGCGACAGGAATTTGGCCGCAGAGGTGTCGTCGGCTTTGGCCATAAGACTGACCAATGGTTTAAAGCTTATCGCGGGTTCGTTGCCGACGAACACTATATCATTGAACCGTTTTTCATTGAATTCAGACTCAAGAAGTAATCACCCATTGATTGGCAAACAATTATTTTCCAGTAATTAATCTACTTTTATGTAAAACTAAATTGTATTCAATATTAATATTCAATTTGAACTAATTATTCAAACTTTTAAATGGCTTTTAATGTCAATTTCTATACTCTATTCAATGTTTCAATTACTTTATAATTATTATTACTTTTAATATTACTTTTAAAACTTTTAATTAGAAATAAAAATTTAGATTATGAATGAATGTATGTTTATATAATTACTTCAACAAAATTTCAATAAAATTATAAACTTATAATGATTTTACGCTAATTATTAAACCAAAATGTTATTCAATACTATATCCACAAACACAACACATGACAGACACCCGATTTGGTAATGCTATGGATTAAAGCTTAAGACAACTGTAATGTTATTACGGGTATAAGTTTACCGATAAATTATAATTGCAATCAATTTATATTTTATCGTATATTTTCATTTATAAAATTATTAAATTTAAAACTAATTATTTGTGAATTTAATTGGAATAAAAAAGTTTAACTAAGTTTTCAATTAAATATATTAAATATTAGTTAATCTTTAAAGTATTAATTCAATAATTAATTAACTTAAATATGGTATAAATTAAATGTGTGTAAAATATGCTAAATTTGTAAATAAAATGTTTGTATGGATTGTCTATTGATGTGAGCGATGGCTATGTATTGGCAAAAGTGTGGCATTTATTGTGTCATAAGATTGCAATACTTAACACGTTTTGCATAAAGGGGTGGAAAGGGGTAGACATTGGTTGCGGTCAATGGGAGCGCAATATTCACTGTTTCCACGGCTATTACAGCCAATCAAACGCTTGTATTATAAAAACGTTTGGAAAACGATATAAAATGAAATTTAAAGCTTAAAACACATTTGAAAAACGATAGCATTTTATTGAACACAACTTTCCTATTAGAGAAGCTTTTCTATCGTTTCAATTCATTTCATTTCAAGTGATTTTTGTCTCAATTATTCTCTATTAATACGATGTCTGACAAAGTGATGGTAAGTATTGTTATAATTATATCATTCATTGGTTTCTAATTATGATAACAATTATGTAATTCATTAACAGTTGAGACCAGTTATCACTGAAGACACCGCCATTGCAATCACCGATAAATCAAAGATCAACTTTCGCTTAACTATAAGACAAGTGGACAGCAATGGAGTGAAGCGTTCGGTTCAACTCAAGAATGGGCTGTCAAGCGATGGCAAGACATTTGTGGCCCTCTTTGATGACAACGACACCGACTTTGAGATCGAAGTTCAGAATCTATCCTTTATTAAGAATATGGGTTTCGGTATGACTTATGGCAAGAAATACTCGTTTGTTGTCCGCAGAGGAACTCTAAGCGTATTTAAAGCGCTGGAAACAAATGGAAATCACTTGCGATTCTTGAGCCCAAACCTACGAACGGCTCAATTGGTGGTCGATTTGGTGGCCGCCGAAGGTGTGAATCGAAAGAGGGCTGAATTGATTTGTTCGCGCATTCGGTTCGATATGACGGTCGAGAAGACTGAACCGATTGTTGAAATGATTGGTCAAGTGATGCCTATATTTGTGAAACTACTTAACGGGAAGACTATTATCATATCGATTGGTCGCGAGAACACTGTCTATGATTTAACGCTTATGATTGAAGACAGAGAAGGCATTCACGCGGAAGACCAAAGGCTGATATTCGCGGGCAGACAACTGGTGGACAGCAAAACAATGGGTGATAGCGGCGTTCAAAAGGATTCAACACTACATTTGGTGTCGAGATTGAAGGGCGCCGGCGATCCTAAAGCGAGTCAATACAACGCTATTCGAGCGGTGAGTGTGAGCTCAGAATCGGGACAGGGATTCGGTCGCAGAGGTGTCATTGGATTTGGCCATAAGACTGACCAACAATTTAGACCAGCGATCGCTGCTTTGAAAGTGGAGGACAACTATTATATCGAACCCTTTTTCATTGAATTCAGACTCAAGAAGTAATCAGTGATTACTAATCACTCATTTAATTGTTTTTCACTAATTAATCTACTTTTGTGTAAAACTAAATTGTATTCAATATTACGAATTGATTTGAACTAATTATCCATACATTTAGTACTAATTCTTATAATTAATGATTACATGACTTTATAATTACTATTATTATTACTTCTATATGTTTTTAATCTTATTATTCAAATAAATACTTTGTTTGTATTATTGACACCAATTTAATAAAATATGTAACTTTTGCATAAGTTTTGAACCAATTATTAAACTTTAAATTTCGAAATAAATGTATAAAATGTGACGAATTAGTGAATGAAATGATTGTATGGATTGTCTATCGATGAAAGCGATGGCTATGTGTTGGCAAAAGTGTGACATTTATGTGTCATTTCATACATAACACGTGTATTTGCATAAAGGGGTGGAAAGGGGTAGACATTGGTTGCGACCAATAGGAGCCCAGTTTTGACTGTTTCTAGTGTTTCGCAGTGTTTATTACAGCCAATCAGACGTTGGTTTCAATTGAAGTGCGCTTTAAATTGAATTTGAAAACACTTTTATTGAACACAAGTTTAACAATAATTGAAATACATTTCCATTCATTTCAATTGAGTTTTGTCTTAATTATTGGCTATTGATATGATGTCCGACAAAGTGGTGGTAAGTATTATATCATTCATTGTTTTCAATTGTCATAACAATTATGTAATGTATTAACAGTTGAGACCAGTTGTGACTGAAGACAACGCCATTCAAATCATCGATGATTTCCTGACAATTGATTTTAGTATAGCTATAAGACAAGTGAACAGCAATGGAGTGAAAAGTGATGTTCAACTCGTGGCGAGTGAATCAAACGAAGTCAACACATTTGTAGCCCTCTTTGATGACAACGACATCGACTTCGAGATCGAAGTCCACAACCGATCGCTCACTAAGAATATGGGCTTTGATATGACTTATGTCGAGAAATACTCGTATTTCGCCCGAAGAGGAACGGGTGGTGTGTTTGAAGCACTCGAAGACAACGGACATCACTTACGTTTCATGAGTCCAAACCTACCGATGGCTCAATTGATAGTCAATATATTGGCCGCCGGAGGTATGGCCCGAAAGGAGGCTGAAATGGTTTGTTCGCGGATTCGCTTTGATATGGAAGTAGAGATCAATCGCGTGTCTCGTAAGCCATCGATGGGTCAAGTGATCCAAGTATTCGTCGAACCGATCGGAGGAGAGACCGTTAACGCATATATTGGTCGCGAGAACACTGTGTATGATCTGAAACGTCGCCTTCAAGACATTGTAGACATTCCTCCGGAGCAACAAAGACTGTTAGACTGTGGCCGACAACTACCCGATAGCCACACAATCAAAGAGCTCAACATTCAAAGAAAGTCAATCCTTGAAATGGCATTGAAAATGTGTGGCGGAGGCGACTCAAGTGATGCGCCAATACATCCATTGTCTTCCACTCAAACACAGGCTTTTGGTCGCAGAGGTGTCGTCGGATTTGGCCGTCAAACTGGACAGAAGTTTCGAGACTATCGTGGATTCATTGCCGACGAGGACTACATAATTGAACCCTTTTTTATTGAATTTCGACTCAAGAAGTAATCACCGATTGATTTGCAATTATTTTTCATTAATTAAGCGATTTTTTGTAAAATTAAATTGTATTTAATAATAATAATCCATTTGAACTATTTATCCATACATTTAAATTTCATTTAATTTTAATTCTTAGTTTATAATTGAATTTATTTTATTTAAAACTATTTGTTTTGACTTTAAAACTTTGAATAAAAGTATTTAAATATCATTATATCATATCATATAATAACTTCTCAACAAATTATTATAGTTTTTGTTTAAAATATAAATTCCATAATTCAATAAAATTACAACTTATGCTACATAGATGCTACTTATGCTCAAATTATTAGAAAAGTTTCATAAACTTTAAAAAGTATTGATTAAATGATAGAAAAATATTTAATAAACGAGTCATTGATTAGAAAATATTCAATAATATGCGGTTTAATGGTATTTTCCATTAATTTCATCAACTATTATATTAATGGCTAAACACATATAAGACGAGTGATCCATAAAAATACCTATCATTTGGGAGTTAGTTTCAGAACCAAATGTTTGGTATTGTATTTATAGCTTAAAAATCAATGTAATTATTAGTAGAGAAAATTTTTTAGGCTGTGTTGCGATGTCTGCCATCGAATGGGTACTAAAATATGATAATTTAAATTTAATAATTATTGATTATATAAAGTATTTATAGATAAAACCGGTCATTGACTACAATGCCATTCGTTTCACCAATAAATCAAAGACAATAGACTTTGATTTGTGGGTAATAAAAGTGGATGAAAATGGGGACAAAAGTGCCGTTGATTTGAGATATGGATCCACGAGACAGACATTTGTCGCCCTCTTTGATGATAAAGAAACCGATTTTGAGATCAAAGTATACAACGGATCCCACACTCGAATGGCATTTGATATAGTATTTGGCAAAACATATCCTTTCTATATCTCTGCGGGACATAAATTTCGCTTCAAAACGCTTCAAAACAATGGACATCACTTGCGCTTCTTGTCGCCAAACCTACCGACGGGACAATCGGTGGTCGATATGATCGCAAACAAAGACCCCGACAGCAGAAGGAACGCAGAGATCATGTGTTCGCGAATGAAATTTAAATTAGGTGTCGAAAGACCTCTAATAGAAGAGGGAATTAAACCATTAGACAATAATATCGGACATTATTGGTCACATCCTTCAGTACTAACAGATTGTATCGACAATGAAATCGTTGTATTTATTAATGATTTGGACAAAATACCATTCAATTTGATTATCAGTCCACAGATGACCGTCGATGAGCTCAAACATCTGATTCAGAAGAGAACTGGTTATCCATTTGATCGCCAAATACTGATATGCGATGGCATTGAACTCGAAGACCACAAGACAATTGGTGAGAGCAAAATCGGAAATTACTCCATGATATATTTGGTTCGCCTTAATATCGAAAACACGGCAATTGTGTCCTCACATGAAAAGCCATTTAACAAAGAAACTGTCGCTAAAGTTGTGCCCAAATTAAAGGCAAACGTTGAATATATGGGTGAAGTAATCAATGTATTTGTCCGCACATTGCAGTCAAAAACAATCATTTTAAGAATCGGTCGATTGAATACATTATACGATTTGAAACTTCTTATACAAGAAAGAGAAGGCATTCATTGCAATGAAATAAGATTAAGATATATCGGCAAAGAACTCAACAACGATAAGACCATCGATGAGAATCATATCACAAACAACTCAACGATTAATTTGTCCGCTCGTCTTAAAGGAGGTTTGAAAAGACAATCGTCGAGTCAAAGACCGGATCCGACAATCGATACTAATTTGTTAGACATTCCTGTCGTCAATAAATATGTGGGCAAAAGAGGTGTCATTGGTTTCGGTGACAAAACTAATGAAAAGTTAGGTCCATATGTCCACAACTATTATATGGAATCCTTTTTTATTGAATTCAGGCTTAAAAACCAATTCAATTAAGTTATAATTTATATGAAAATGTTATCAATTGCTTATCAATTAGTCTATTGGAAAATCAAATGTTAATTATTAAAAATATTCTAATAAAATAAATTCATACGATATTAACCGACAAATTGTTATAAATTAATATTTACAATGAGTTAATATTAATTCTATATTTTGATAAATAAATTATTAAATTTAAAACTAATTATTTGTTATTAAACTGATAAAAATATTTTCAATCCAATCGTTGGATTTGGTCAGAAAACTGGTCAGAAGTTTAGATCCTTTCGCGGATTCATTGCCTACAAAAACTATTCAATGGAATATTTTATTGAATTTAGACCTAAAAAATAACTATTATTTTCTAGTAATTACTAATTACTTCATTTTTGTATAATGTATACAATTATTTAAATTATGTTCAATATTTGTAATTCAATTTATTACATTTTTCATAAGTTTTGAGCCAATTATTAATCATAAAAATGTTGTTAAATAGCACTATAGCCTAAAACAGCACATATGATACGCGCGATTGCGTAATGCTATGGATGAAAAAGTGTGATACAAATCTCAAGGATAATTCAGGTATATGTGTGGCCTTAGGCGCGTTGTATCAACCAATTGCTACCCAGAATTAAAAAGTGACGGTAACTTTAATAATACGTAATATCAAGTATATATAATGCTGCAATATTAGTTAGATCTTTTGTTTAAATTTTACGTTTTCAAATAATTTTTAACTTTTTAATATTATTTAAAAGTAGTGTCAGTTGATATTTTTATACATTTTTTGTAGATAAAACTTTTTGTTATTAATATTATGTCAAATAAAGTGATGGTAAGTATCAGTATTAGTATTATATTATTCAATATATTCAACATTCATAATAATTACGTGATTTATTACCAGTTGAGACCAGTTATCACTCGAGACAATGTGATTGTAATCACTGATAAATCAAAGATCAACTTTCGAGTAACTATAAGACAAGTGGACAGCAATGGAATCAAAAGTCGTGTACAACTGAGAAATAGCCTCTCAAGCGATGGCAATGTATTTGTGGCCCTCTTTGACGACAACGAAATCGACTTCGAGATCGAAGTCCACAATCGATCGCTCACTAAGAATATGGACTTTGGGTTGACTTATGGCAAGAAATACGCGTTTATTGTCGGCAAAGGAGAAGATTATGCGCTAAAAACGCTTGAGAAAAACGGACATCACTTGCGTTTCTTGAGTCCAAACCAACCGATGGCTCAATTAATAGTGGATTTGTTGGCCAACGAATGCGTGGACCGAAAGAGAGCTGAAATGATTTGTTCGCGCATTAAGTTTAATGTGAAGGTCGAGAAAGAAAAAGTCCCCAAATTTGTACCAAAAATGATATTATTGGGTGAATTGATTCACGTATTTGTGTGGAATAGACAAATAATTGGCAAAAACCTCAAACTGCTGGTCGGTCTCCAAAATACTTGTCACGACCTCATGGTTATGATAGAAGAGAAAGCAGGCATTCATATCGGCGTTCAGAGACTGTATTGCAGTCGCGGGGGAAGAATGAATTTACGCGACACTCTCAGTGATTGGCAAATCCGAGACGGCGATGAGTTAATGCTTATTCCTCAACAATCTGGTGGCGGTCCACAGCCTAAGTCTACTCTCCCAACACATGCATTGAACGGCGATATCGTTTCCCCCGTCGACGACAACTTCGGTCGCAGAGGTGTCGTTGGGTTCGGCCGTAAAACTCATCAAAACTTTGAAAAATATCATGGATTCATTGCCGACAAAGACTATTATATCGAACCGTTTTTCATTGAATTCAGACTTAAAAAGTAATTACCCAATAAATAATCTCATTTTTCTTATATAATTGTATATTATATTTGTATGAAGTTTTATTGGATGAAAATAAATCTCATTTAATCGCATAATTAATTCAAATGTATTTAATTATCAATCATTTTACACACATTTAATGTTAATTTCAAATCTAAAACAAAAACTTTTCATAAGTTTTGTCGCAAATTGCGACTCGCAATTATTAGAAGTGAAAAAGTTTAGTTATAATATTTAATTGTTGCTGTTCTACTCGCAAATTATATGATAAATGTCTACAAATATCATCGATTAACTGTACGTCACACATACGATCTGAATTTTCATTCATGCAATTGAAGCACAGGTTTAGGGAATAGTATTGTAATCTAATAGCAAATGGCATAACAAATACCAACAAAAGCCCATTCAATGCTAGGTTTGAAAATCATTGAAAAATGAGTGGCAATGAGTGAACGGTTCACACATTGAAACGTGTAGTTATTATTGTTATTGTTTTGATCGCATGTTTTGAAAGTTTTTCCGTGTCTTTGACCCAAAATTGTGGATCAATTGGCGGATCAAATGCGGTGTCGATGGCCAACAAAATCAAGGTATTGTACAACACATGACCTGACAGTCGACGCCAATAGCCATACATTGTTTGCCACGATTTCCCACAACCTCTTCAGCTAAAGCCCACCGTCGGTGACAACAACCAGATCTCGATCGCCACGGACTCCAAGTCTATCGACTTTAAGCTATGGCTGCGAACAGTAGACGACGACAATATCGCCAAACGGGTGGAACTGTTGGCGGGGATCGAGAAGAACGTCTTCGTGGCGCTCTTCGACGACGGCGACCACGACTTCGAGATTGTGGTCCGCAATGAGTCCCTAAAGGCGGACCTTTGGCTGGAGATAACGTACGATCGGATGCATAAGTTTATCATATATAGAGGCGATCGCCGCAACTTCAAGACACTGGAGGACAACGGCTATCGACTCCGCTTTATGACACCCAATCGGCCGAAGGGAAACACTTTCGGCGATATATTCCCGTCAGGAATGGTAGACATGAACACCAAAATTCAAATCATTTCCAATTACGTGGGTTTCGGTCTGGACTTCGGTAAATGCATGGGTAATATGGGGTGGACTGACGACAAGCCCAAAGCCAAACGCGTGAAGAAGGAAGAGGGCGACCAGAAAGACCTCAACGAACGAATCAAACTTAAGGTTAGGGTTAAAAAGTCGAAAACCATTGTTTTGATTACAATCGCTCGCAACCAAACCGTCGATGAGCTCAAGAAGCTTATCGAAGACCGAACTGAGATCAGTCCCGCCCGACAACGACTGGTGGCCGACGGCGGCAAAACTCTTGAAGACACGCAGACCATCGATGAGTGCGGATTGGAGGACAAGTCGACTATTTTGGTGTTTCGCGTGTCAATCGGTAAGGAGAAGAAGAAACCGCAGGTCGAGAGAAAGGTCTATATCAAGAACGAGAAGATATACGCGGTCTCGAAGGGCGGCAATGCCGGCGCTCCTCAGGCTTTGGGCGATGTTATCGGCGATTCGGGTGCTCTCGGCTACGGCAAGAAGACCAGAGAGTACTTCGGCTCGAAATCGGATTTCCTTACTATTCGCAAATATAGAGTACAGGACTTTAAGATTGATCTCAGACTGAAGAGGGCTTACGACCCGAAGAATGGGATCGTCGACTCAAGTACTAATGCCGCAAACGGTTCCACCGAAACCCCTGAGCCATCGACTAGTGGTCCTTCAATTTGGATGCCCTTCACGTTCCGCACCGACGATAACAAACCCATTCTCATTGAACTCGATTCTGACGAAGACGCCGACCCCTCCCCTCCCGAACCCCCAGCGACCGCATCACCGCTTCCATGACAACCGATCTCCGCATCCGATGAGTTGTTTTATCATTGTTTTCGTTACATTTCAGTATTTATTGTTGTATTTTGTCACCTGTTTTATTGCCAATTAATTATATTTTTTGCAATTAATATTAATACAACTTTATTACCTCAAATGTATTTACCATCGGTATTTTTAAAATTAAAATATTATTTTATTTTGCTTAAATTGTTTTTATTTCTAGACATTTTGTGTGAATTTTTATTAAAATTGTGTTTAAAAAGACAACAGATTATGAAAAGTAAAAGTTATTTAAGATTTAAATAGAGATAGAAATGAATGACAAAAATATATCTAACGATCGCTACTTTTATCAAATACTTTTTCAGTTGTTATTTTTAGTCTCTCTCTCTCTCTCTCTCTCATGTATTGTATTATTAAATCGGAAATCAATGGTAATTAAAATGTTTCGATTGAACTGATAAGGAGTGAGACATTCATTGCTTCCCTCAACGCATCGCTATTACCATTAAAAGAGAGGAAAGCGAAGGGAAGGGAGAAATATAGTCACACAATAGGCTGAAGAGTTAGATAAGAAAATGCTATGTTATGGTAAGCCTCATCATATTTACAATGAGTAGAGAGAGAGAGAGAGAGAGTGAGAGAGNTCTCCTCTCTTGTATCGTCTTATTGCTCGACACATAACGTAAACACAACTAAATGAATGAATGAATGAATGGTTTTGCTTTGCAATTGAGGCCCAGAATCCAATTTAATGATAGTTAAGAATCAAAGCGCATAAACACATCAATTGTATGTCAAAGAATTTGAGCAAATTTTTGAATCCTTTTTTATTCCCATTTATTTTTTCTTTCTTTCATTCGTTAACAAAAGAGAAGAAAAGAAAGAAAAACAGTTTTCATTCGCCGTTTTGCTGTAAAAGAGCAGAAAAATACTATATGTTTGAAAAGATGGGATCACATAATGAACTGATATATTCTTTTTTTATGCCAATTCCTACTCTAATTTGGATTCTGGGCCTCAATTGCAAAGCAAAACCATTCATTCATTCATTCATTTAGTTGTGTTTACGTTATGTGTCGAGCAATAAGACGATACAAGAGAGGAGAAAAGAAGCGCAAAAAACCTTTTTGACGATTCTTACAGTTTATTGTCGACTGTTATGTTGATTGGCTTAAATCCAATGCAATCACTCTTACAATTTCGTAGACCAATGCCTCCGACATTAGCGAAGACTATGAGATAACACACAAAAAATAGTGGCTCTCGTATGTACTGTTAGGCTCTGTATGTTATACTTAAGCAATGGTTTGGCCACCACTGCCTCAACCAAAGTCTGTGCCACTATTTGCAAAAGAGTTTGTGTTTCTTTTGTGAATTGCATTTTAATTCAATACACGTCTGTTACACCACTGTTAGGCCACAACCAATGTCTACACAACACAGCTCTCCCATACATTGCCTCCGATGAGCCACAAAACGCACAATGCATTACACATCCTATGCTAGTATACAGATATAGTTAGCAATACAATCATATTATATAATATCATTTATATAGTGGGAAAATATTTGAAAATTTTGCACAATTGCAATAACATTTGCATTTTTATAATTCTTGGAATTATTTTCATAAATGTAATCATAATTCTTAAGAATTTGCCGAAAATGTTTGGCCCTAAAGGTATACAATATTGATAACTACTGTCCAATCGTTGGATTCATTTTTGAATCAACGATTCTGTCGGATATGTGTTTAAGACTTCGTTCACAAAAGCCGTGCGTATAATGCGATTCGTCAGGAGATTCGCTGTGAATCTCTGCAAACATGTGTTACTAATAGTTGTTTGCATTTTTGCCTCTCTCTCTCTCTCTCTCTCTCTCTCTCTCTCTCTCTAATGTTGTTTAACTAAAAAAGTGGGGAACAAATAAAAGAAAGATTGAAATATGGATTCTTTCATAACATTATATAATCCATA